AATGAATTGTATTCTCAACTAGTTTCTTTTTCATGGAAATATATTTTTTCCATCCTGTTTGTTCTTGTACATCCTTTAGATTTGCTGGTACATCTGGACTCTCTTTATGATAAAAAACAATTAAAAAATAGCAATGGGTGACAGTCACAGACCACAGATAGCCTAGGATCGATCATAACAAGAGTATCATTTTTCTTTTCTTCAAAAGATGAGATGCAAAATGGCAGTTTCGTTAAGCAAAACATTACTCTTGCCTTGCAGAAGTGTGTTGTATTAGAAAGTTTGAAATATTTTGGAGAGTTTAAAAGAAAGTAAAAAGTTTTAGGGAGCAAAGTAAGGAATTATTGTAGATGTTAAGAACTGATGACTATAAAATAAATTAAATCCCTTTGTTAATACCTTAATTTTCTATTGTCCTTTACTTGATCTCACTGAATGTAATAAGGTAAGTAAATAAAACATATCATTCCTATTTTCCTGTTTATCCTTACCAACCTTCGAGAGAGATTTAGTATAAAAACGAAACAGCTCACGCAAAAGGACGAAGGGACACGATCAGTTGTGTTAAAAAAACTCTGTTAACCCTCTAAATCCTGTGAGTGACCAAGACAGAGTTTCTCCTTACAACGTCAATACAATATGAAGCAGAAAAGTGATGAGGATATATCAAAACATCAAGTTCTCCAAATTCACATCACAAGAATTGTCTGGCAGACAGTAAGAAGAATTACTAATGAGATCTTCAGAGCGAAAATGTTAACCAAAAAGTTGATAAATGAAGATCAAACCTCTTACTTTTATGACCTACAGATGGAGTTTATGTCAGAAAAGAGTCAGAAAAATGTCTAGAAAGAAGAAAACAAGAACAAGAAAACACAAATAAACAGCAGAGTGTAGAACCATAAATTTTGAGGATGCCTGCTGGGGTATCCTGGCCTCGATATTTAACTTTCTTTGCAGTCAGTTTTGCAACTTGCTTTGCAGGAAGGCAAGTGGTGCACTCGTACTAAAGACCAAATCTGGGGAGAATGTTTAGTTGTTTTTATTTTATGATTCATGAAGATAGGAGATAGAAGATCCTGACAGCGCTGTAAAAGTTACCTTTTGATTTACAAACATCTCAGCAAGGTTTCCTTTTTAATTGTTGTTTGCAGTCCAGAAACTTGACTTTTTATTCGCAAGATTTGTCTTGTTATTCCCCTGAGCTACCGTGCATAAAACATTTGTAATGTAGCTCTGTATATATAATATTTTTAACAAAGCTTAGAGAACTAAGAGTTGTATCTTATATCTGATAAGTTAAATTATTATTACAACTTCCTTACTGAATGATACAGTGGTATTAGGGAGAGAAATTTCACACTAATCACTTTTTGGAATTGATTGTAGGTTTTACTCATTTCAATAATTGACTAGAGCTCCCATTTTTAGGTGAAAGTCTTTGTTGGCAGAACTTTTCCACTTGCAAAAATTGGGGAAAATTGAAATGAAAAAAGTGCACCACTTGGCAAAAAGGGGGGAAAATTGAAATGAAAAAGTCTTGATTCTGTCAAAAGATGACCTATTCCAAGTTGTCATTCATGAAGTACTCAATCAGCTTCAAACTGAATTCTCCTCTGCCCTATATTACAAAAATTGACTAAGGGCTGAGAATGAGGTTTTAAAAAAAATTTCATTATTTCCATTATCCAAGAATTGTATGCATAATAAAGCGTGGAGCTGTGCAGAAATCTAACCCACTCAAAATCAGCGGCGGCCTTTCAGAACTACAAGCGATCGTCATGCGGCAAACAAAGTCCTTATTATTCAAAGTGGTGGTCAAAAATTCATACGGAAAATTATTCAACAAAAATGACCCAATTAAAATTAGGTTTGTTCGTACTATTGATAAAGCTTTGATTAATAAAAAAACAAATATAAATAAAAGAAGACGGTTTTTTTCCCAGATCAACGTACACGATTAACAGTTACGCTCACTTACAAAAAATTTCCTTTCCAATGCGAACCCTCATCATAAATAGTTCAATTTTAGCCCAGAAATGAACAACGGGGGCAAGAATCTATAAACAACGAGGCGCCGTATAATCGTTCTTATTTTTCTTGAAACATGGACTTCTCAAAGGTAAAAAACCCCGCTGTAGTTTCAAACGGCCGCTATGTTGAATATCAGCACATTTGAGGTACCAAATTCCTTGAACTTTTCACCGCTTGTCTATTTGCTACGGGCGCATAACTTTCTTGTAAACAGGAGGATAACGATAGGCTAATGATTTGGTGGGTGTGTCTGTATGTATGCCTTTGGTCACGACAACAACTTAACGCGATCACGGATAACAGAATGCAGAATCAAGAAGAATCCCTTCGTCACAGCCCTTACTTGTGAGTGGTATTTATATTTCTGCCTTAATCAAACTAGATCACCGTTTGTGCCACTCTGCGTTAAAAGAAGCTTAAAGGAAAACATATCAGCTGTTGATATGCACTTTGAGGGTTACTGTGTAGTTATGGGTAGGACAATGTCCCAGTGAACCACTGGGTAAGGCTTACACTGAATGGAAATCAGTATCCCGGATAATGATAGAGGAGGTGTCTAGAGCCCAGTCCTAACCAGCCCTGTCATCTTGACCCAAGGAATTGAGTAGAATACTCTCTTTTTCATTCATCGATTATTTAGATTTCAGGATTTTGTCACATTTTCCATACTACCAAAAAATTGAAGTTACTGTTTGTCACAAGTACTATTACAGTCCCTGATTATGTCAGATGTTATCAGGATTTCTTTGTTCCAATTTAAACCTTTTGATTCTTTTTAATTGCATTTACTTTTCTTTATACTTTTTAGTTTATGCTATGCACTGGTAGATACCTCCATCCGCTCCTGAAAATTTCTTCCTAAATTATTTTAAGTTTGTCTCTGCATTGCAATAAAACTGTTTGACATGTGTTAGTCAACAAAATGATAGTTTCTTTAATCATTAGTGATACAACTGTATGTGCTTCTTTGCTCTTTTGGTTACATTACAAACCAGATATGATCTCTTACTTTTTACCATTATTTCTATCATCTTTTTCTCAGTATCTTGAAAAATAGTTTTGAAGCCCTTTAAAAACATTTAATGAAGACAAAAGATTCATAGCATGATCACAAATTGTAAGTTGTAAGAAGTTAAGTTAATAAAACATATTATCCCCATTTTCCTGTTTAATCCTTTCTCATTCCCACGTAAATAACACATTAGACTATTACATAAAAGATATTTGGCGAATACACTAAACCAACGTTCCAGTAATCAGGAATAAATTGAGATTAAGAGGCAATCAAAACTGTCAATTTGGGTGGGAGGGAAACTAAAACTTTCTTAGAAGCTCTTAACAACTCTTAATTCTCTGAGCTTTACAACAATTAAATGGTATATTATAGCAGCTAGGGAGAATAAAAAAACAAATCTTGAAAGAGTTAAGTTTCGGGACTGCAAACAAACAAATATTACTCAGCTGATCTTTCAGACAAGTTTTGTTTTAGAAGTGCCAAAACTTACAAAGGGCAACCTTGCCTCAACGCTCCCTGCAGGTAAGATTAAATTTTTCATCTGTCTCAGTGCATTATTGCATAATTATAATAGCAAGTGCATAATTATAATAGCAAGAGCATCGAGAGTAATGACGTAAGTTCTAAAAAAAATCCCTTTAGTGTAGCACTTCAACAAGAGATGAATTGTGTAGCCTGAGTAATGGCCATTGTGAAACTACTTTTCTTGCTCCCACTTTTAGAATTTGATCCAGTAGACTATTATACTCTGAACTTTGGCAAGCCTTTAAGTCTTTGCAATTTTTCCCGCTGGTAGTAGAAATGGAGGGAGTGGGGGAAGGTTGAAGGGCTCTTAAAAGCTCTGGTTTTAAATTATTATTTTGAGCTTACTGAAAAAATTCTGAGCATGATATTTGGGGTAACGCCATGTTTTCTGGGGGGACACTCAAAAACAAAGCTACTCGAAACTGATGTGATATTAAATGCCACTTTTAATGACCATGCGCTGATCACACATGAGCGTGTGTACAGGAAGACGGATAATTAAATCACTTTACACTATAATGCGCTTCAAGTCTTCAAGAACGCCATACTGAAACTTAAAGCTATTTGTGTCTACATATCTTAAAAGTATTGTCCGATAGGAGATTTTGTTTTAAATCGCACACAATTTTCAGAATTTTAAACACAAAGCTGCGTAATTCCAGGCCGTGAATTCGAGTAAACAAGAATTCAAGCATGGTAAATCTAATACGTGCATCTTGTACATGCAAGAGATTGGTACGTTTTTTCGCTTCTAAGCAGTAAATTTAGCTTTTCTTTGAAAACAGCTTTAGTCCGGAAAATTTTTTAGGTCAAGAAGCTAAGGATGATCTTGACTTCGCCTCGAACAACTCAAGAGTCTCTCGTGCTCTCCAAACTTTCCGCATGTATCCATCGCTCATCTGGATGTACGCACGCTAAGCATGAAGAACAAGATACGCCGTGCCCTGCAACTGAAGGGGAGGCGAGTTCCTGACCGATAATCTTCTTCAGATGCCAAGTCATAAACACGACCATGCTGGTTGTCTTCTGACGATCTTCATGGATGATAATGGATAATCACAACTTCTGAGGAGGAACCTCTAGGCAATTCACTCAATAAGGATCGAAACAAGGAAAGGAAATAAGGCTGTGGTAGCTGAGAGTTTACATTTAAAGGAAATTCTTTAGGATACAAAAAGGCACGTACAGGAGATGTTTCACAACGAAAAAAGTCAGTGTGTATTGCGCAAAGAAAACATCCGATTATGGCCGTCATTCATATGTATTCATTAACACGCCAGCTTGATCAAGTAACAGATAACTACCAGTTTCGTTTGCTAAATTGAAAGACTTTGTTAAACTTTCTTGAGGTTAGATTTTGTAAAATAAACAGAAGGTCAATATGCTCAATTAAGAACTAAGGTTGTACTAAGAAATGTTCAATATATTTCAGAGAAAAATTTAGCTCCGTTCCAGAGGAGATCTAAAAAAGCAGTCATGAGGTACTGTAATAGTTCTTGACTGACAAATGATAACTCGCCCCTTCTAAAAAGCTTTGGCTCATTAAAGAAAAAAAACGTCGACTGTTTTCAATGAGCACCATTATCTATACGTAAACTTATGTACAGAAAGATAAACAATGCACTTTTCTAATTCTCTGAAATGAGCTTCAGGTCTCCAGGAGCGCCATACTGAACATCTGAGGGCTTGGCCGCTTTTATACTGCCGCATTTTTCAGATTACAACACGGTTTTCTATAATATTAATGACCGGCCGGGTCAAAATAACTAAAAATATCCCGCATTTCCTCAATCAAAAACATCACCGTTTCAGTTTAACAAGATTTGCAGCGTGACGCGTGTGAAATTTGTACCATCTTTAAAACATATGGATTGAGTTTGAAGATGACAATCTATCACACTGCCTCAGAAAGGATCTAACACTCGGTATTTAGAACGTTTAAGAATTGATGCAGAATACGTAAGTACCGTCTAAAGGCCACACGAAGGTCACGTCAGTCACAGACTTAATCAAATTTTTATGCCTCCTCAATATGCCCAGATCATTTTCCGGGAAATTCTATTTATTTGTAAAGGGGTACGTGCTTCATCAAAGAACGTGATAAGCATATCAGAGTTAAGTTGTTTACCCGTGTTTGACCTCAAGTAGCTTGAGACTTCCTTATCATTTAGCTCCATCGCTTCCTACACTTTACATTTAAAGTAAATTCTCTAGGATATAAATAGGCGCGAACATAAGGAGATATATATTTCAGTCATAGAACACGAACTGTTCGTGCAAAGTAATCATCGAAGTATGGTGAAGCTTCTGATACTCGCTGCTTTGTTAATTTTCTCATCCAAAACGGGAGTAAGTTCCATAGGAACAACCACCAGTCCTCAACAACAGAATCCACAAGCTGGCGCTGACAAAGACCCATGTGAGGTACTCTTAAGTATGCTTTATCCACAATTATTTACGACAAAATCGCATGTACTTCATGAAACGTTCATTTGTCATACATAAGTTTACCACTCATGTCTACCAAGCTAAGCGCAAAACAAATCCCTCACCAATCATAAGTTTTCAAAGACAAAGTAGAACATTGCTGGACAAAGTATGCTTTTAGGTACAACGTTATGATATATTTCAATGTTCCGAGCTGTTTCTCTTAAAACGAAGCGGAATTCTTAACGTGAGTAGTTTCTGAAGAAATTGCTATACTACTTCGGCGGACAAGTAAATATCAATGAACATCAAGTACGTTTATCCCATTATTATACGTTCCTTTTCTCTTTCTCAGAAATCCGTTTTTGCTCACGGATTTTCTGGGATTCCAGGATCGAATGGCATACCAGGAATGCCGGGAATTCCTGGTGCCCCAGGGCCGCAAGGACAACAAGGAAAAGATGGAGCTAAGGGAGAGCCTGGTGTCAAGGGACCAAGGGGTGTGACGGGAACAAGAGGACAGAAAGGAAATCCAGGGTCACTCGGTAAAAATGGTGCACCTGGAATGATGGGAATAAAAGGAGATAAAGGTGATGAAGGGTCACGTGGCAGCAGTGGACCGCCAGGAATCAAGGGTGTGAAAGGAGAGCAGGGATCTAAAGGAGAGAAAGGAGAAATCGTGAATAGTGCAGTGTCACAGACCAACTGGAAACAGTGTGCGTGGAACAATCTAAATAATGGTAGAGATAGTGGAAAGATTAAGGTACAGAAATATCAAGAAAATGCAATGAAATTATATTAAGTGTTGGAGCCAATTGGTCATGGCGTACTCTGAAAGAGACTTCTAAGAAATGCCGCCGAACTAAAAATCTTAATTAACAATTCCGTACATTATAGCAGGCAAGAAAAGTAAAAGTTCATCATCAAATTGTCTCCAATACCACTCTTATGAAGCCTTTTTTTTTTTTTTTTTTTTTGCACTAAGACTGTCTTTTTGGCATTTTCTATAGGATTGCTCATTCAAGAAGCTGCAATCTGATACAGCTATTAAAGTCTCATTCCAGGGAAATATGAGAGTCTATGGCAGTTCAGCTAAATGCAACCGGTGGTTCTTCAAGTTTAATGGAAATGAATGCAGTGGACCAATGACAATTGAGGCTGTTGTGTACAACAATTGGCCATCTGGGGAACCTAATCTGCTTCATCACAGATCATTTGAGGGATACTGTGAAAACATTCCACAGGGCAGGGTTACTGTGGAGTTATGGGTAGGAAAGTGTTCCAGTGGTCATACACTGGGTGATGCTAATACTGGATGGTCATCAGTATCCCGGATAATGATAGAGGAGGTGTCTAGAGCCCAGTCCTAATCAGCCCTGTCATCTTCACCTGAGGACTGGAGTAGAATATTCTCTTTTTCATTTATCCATTATTTTTGATTTCATGATTTTCTCACATTTTTCATAAGGCCCAAAAATTGAAGTTACTGCTTGTCACAAGTACCTTTTTGTCCAGATGATATTAGATTTTATGAGGATTCCTTTACTCCAATTTAAACTTTCTGCTTCTCTTAAATTACATGAACTTTTCTTAGTAGTTTTTAGTTTATGCTATGTGCCAGTAAATACATTTGTCCTCTCCAGAATATATTTCCCTGAATTATTTTAAGCTTGTCTCTTTATTACAATAAAACTGTTTGTCATGTGTTAGTCAACAAAATGATAGTTTCTTTAACATTAGTGATACAACTGTATGTGGCTTCTTTGTATTTTTGGTTACATTACAAACCAGATATGATCACTCACTTTTGCCACTATTTCTATCATCTATTTCTCAGCATCTTGAAAAATAGTCTCGAAACCCTTTTAAAAACACTAAATGAAGAAAAAAGATTTGTTGCCTGATCACAAATTGAAGGAAAAATGTCTATCATAGAATCTCACAACTGATTCAATATTTTTCAATTGAACTGTACATGTATTCACAACTAGTCTCTTCTTATGGAAATATATTTTCTCCATCCTGTTTGTTCTGGAAAGTCCTTTGGATCTGGGGGTATATCTGGAATTTCCTCAACATAAAAGTAAAAAGAAAATTTCAAAGGGTCAGTTAGCACAGATAGCCCAAGCTCGTAACAAGAGTATCTATCACTTCTCTTTAGGTACAGAGATGTGATTTATATTGGCAGTTTTTTTAAGAAAAACATAACTTTTGTCATGCAGAAGAAGTCTGTTGTATTACAGATTTTGAAAGAAAGTAAAAAGTTTTAGTGAGCCTAAAAGTAAGGAATTATTGTAGATGTTAAGAACCATGACTATAAAATAAACTCCTTTTACTTAATTGCTTTTTATTGTTCTTAAATTGATCTCACTGAATACAGTTAGGTATATTAAAAAAGCATATTATTCCCATTTTCCTGTTTAATCCTTTCTCATTCCCAGTCCTTAGTCACTTTTTGTAACATAGGGCAGAGGAGAATTCACTTGGAAGCTGATTGTGTACTTCATGAATGACAGCTTGGAATAGGTCAGCTTTTGACAGATTCAAAACTTTTTCATAACAATTTTGCCATCTTTCGATCAGGGTTTCCATGCCTACAAGTGGAAAATTTCTACTAACAAAGAGCTTCACCTAAAAATGTCAGCTCTAGCTAATTATTGACAATCAGTGAAACCTACAATCAATTCCAAAAAGTGATTAATGTGAAATTTCTCTCCATAATTTCACTGCATCATTGCATAAGCCATTAGTCAGAATAATTTAACTTCCCAGATACAAGATGCAACTCTTAATTTCCTGAGCTTTATAATAAATGTTTTATATAGCACTCTGCTTACACAAATAAAAAAACAAATCTTAAGAATAAAGAGTCAAGTTTCTGGACTGCAAACAAACAAAGATTACTCAGCTGATCTTTCAGACCAGTTTTGATTTAAAAATGCAAAAAAATTAAAAAGGAAACCTTGCTGAAATGTAGGTAATCAAAGGTTAGTTTTTCCAGTCAGGATCTTCTATCTCCTATGTTCATGAATCATAAAATAAACACAACAAAACAATCTCACCAGGTTTGGTCAAGTGCACCACTTGACTTCCTACCAGGCAAGTTGTGAAACTGACTGCAAAGAAAGTTAAATATCGAGGCCAGGATACCCCAACAGACATCCTCAAATTTTTTTTATGTTCCTTCACTCTTCTGTTTATTTGTGTTTTCTTGTTCTTGTTTTCTTCTTTCTAGACGTCTTTCTAACTCTTTTCTGACATAAACTTCATCTGTAGGACATACAAGTAAGAGGTTTGATCTTCATTTGTCAATTTTTGGGTTAATGTTTCTTTACTCTCAAGATCTCATTAGTAATTTTCCTTACTGTCTGCCATACAATTCTTGTGATGTGAGTTTGGAGAACTTGGTATTGGATCAACTAACAATCGCTTCTTGATATTTTGATATATCCTCATCACTTTTCTGCTTAATATTGTATTGATATTGTAAGGAGAAACTCTGTTTTGGTCACTCATGGGAGTTAAAGGGTTAGCAAAGTTTTTTTTAACAAAACTGATCGTTTCCGTCTATCCTTTTGCGTCAGCTGATTTATTTTTGTACAAAATCTCTCTCTAAAATAATTTAAAATTAAAGGAAACGCTTAAAAGTGAAAGATTTCAAAAAAATTTCAATTTTTCCACTTAGCAAATGCCAACATTTCTGACGGTGGCTGGAGTCCTATACTTTGAAAAAAAAAAAAAAAAAAAAAACGGCAGTCACAGAGACTATCTACTCTTTTCGCCATTATTTTATTACCTAAGAACTGTATGCATAATGAAGTATAGGGCTTTGCAGATATCTAACTCAGTCACTTTGCGACTACGAAAGGAAAAATCTACAGCGGCCTTTCAAAAGTACAAGCGATCCTCATGCGGCGAACAAAGTCTTATTATTCAAAGTGGTCGTGAATAGTTCATATGGAAAATTATTCAACAAAAATGACCCACCTTCATATAAAATGTGTTCGTTCTGTTGTTAAAGCTTTGATTGAAAAAAAAAACAAATATAAATAAAAGAAGACAGTACTTTTACCAGATCAACGTACACGATTAATTGTAGTTTAGCTCACTTACAAAAACTTTCCTTTCCAATGCGAACCGTCATCATCATAAGTAGCTCAATCTTAGCTCCAGCAATAAAAAAGGGCAAGAATTTATGGACACAGAGACGCCGTAAAATCGTTCCTATTTTTTCTTCAAACATGGAATTCTCAAAGGTAAAAAAGCCTGTTGTAGTTACAATCGGCCGCCATGTTGAAAGATTCCTTGAACTTTTTACCGCTCGTGATCTCACCACGGGCGCATAATTTCTAAGAGCGATAAGCTCATGGATTTGGTGAGTCGGTGGGCGTGTATGTATGTATGCCCTGGTTCACGGCTGAAACTTAACGCGATCACGAATTAAAGGATGCAGAATCAAGAGGACTCCCTTCGTTACAGCCCTTTCTTGTGAGTGATATTTATATTTCTGCCTTAACCAAACGAGATCACTTGTGTGTCACTCTGCACTAATAGAAGCTTTCAGAAAGAACATTTCAGCTGTTGATATACATTTTGATGGATTAGACATTTTGACCGATTAATTTTTTTGTTTTGCAGCAGAAAAAAGTCAGGATGAAGCTAAAGAAACAAATAATTTGAAAGAAGAATGCAGAAGCACCGGGAAAAGTCCAAAAGAGCCAAGACGTTAAGTAAAAACATTTGGAGAAATGTCTGAAGAAAAAAAAAGCATCCAGAACATCTAGACTACAATCTGGATATTCTGTTTATAAGCATATTGATGTATCTTATATGGCTGTCTGGAGCTGCAGATGAGGAATGTTTTCATTTCATGACGAGAGAGTCGCTGACGTTACTTTCCTGGACTAGTTTTAGAGTTAGAGAATTAGTTGGACGTTTTATTGAACTGTTCTTTTTTTTAAGGAAAAAAAAAACTCTATTTTAACGAGAAGAGTGGTATATTGCTCGCACCAATCAGGTCTACATTAACCAGAAATTGGGCTTATTTGACAAGTGTTATGATTGTGGCCTTTGCAAGAGCCTCGTCGTGTGAGGTCGAGATCTATCGGGATGTGAAAGGTTCGCATTTACTTCTATTGTATAATTTTTAAGTTAAATGTGTTTTTCCCGCACCTTTTCTCACAACGCACACACCAAACAACGTACATTTCATTAAGTATTATGAAAACAAGGTACAAAGTCCAATAAGAACATACCCAATCATTGCACTACATGAACGCTAGGCAATTTTTCGCGTGCTTTAATTGTATTTGGCCAATCAAATTCCATTTTGCCACATTAGACTTCGCTCCATCACATGCCATTTCCTGGAAAACAACCTGCATTTATCACGTACTCGAACCGCGTTATCCAGTACCACTGAAAAACTTCACATGGAACTTTATGCTACTGATAGTGAATTTTCCACGCATTCTCCCGCATTTTTACTTTTTCTACGCATAAAATTGGCTTTCAGCAACCTTGGAATTAACCCAATTGCGTGTTAATTCCTTGTAAACAACCTGCATTTTATCGCATATTTCATACCACACATAGGGCAAAGTCCTCGTACGAGATCGCAATATATCTTTGGTTAGGGTCAGTCTGCTCAGAAGTAGTTGGACAATAGAGACAATAGACCACAAAAATACTTGTGTGAGGTTAGATAAATCATTTTTCTTCTTTTTCTCTTGAAGTGAAGTAATACGATATTTTTTTCTTTTGAAAGTTATGAAAACATTAGGAAAACAGAGTGGCCCATTTCGACCTACCTAGCTAAAAAATAACTCTTGCATTTTACGCATGCCTATGTTTTCAGATAGTGGTTGCTTGATTGATAAAACTCAGTAAATAATATGTGCATCTATTTTGGACAAATTTATGGCTCCTTTCTCTCACAGGTTGGAATAAATCCAGGTTTTATAGCAGCCTATAAGGGACACTGCATTATGCAGAAGCAAATAATTAGTTTTGTAGGTAATTTATTTATTTGCTCACATTTGAGCCATCGTCAATAATTCATCACTAGTTCATTTATATTAATAAGAAAAAGTTACAATGAGGTTCAGTTCTAAGATTCCCAATAATATTTCATATTCCTGGGAGCATATCAAACTCATGGGGTACAAATAGTCTTAACATGAATATAGCGACCACGCCCAGTTCAACGCCCCACTCAAATCGAGTGTAATTTTCGAATATTTTACCATCGTGCGAATTCTCTACGGAAAAAGCACTCAATGTACCTCTGAAAATTTAAACTATAATATTTTGGCTTTCTATTTCGCTTATTTTCTAACTTGAAGGTAAAGTTTTTCCCCCGTCATTTTTA